GCTTTATTCTCCGATACAATCACTCTCGCCGCCGCCTCCGTAGTCGTGTTCAGTACTATCTCCGCGCACGCCTTCTTCAACGCCGCCGTTTTCTACATGAAAACAAGATTCAGAATACATTTCAAAAGTTAAGGATATACAAAGAGAATTTGATAAAAGCACGCCGGAAGGAAGAGGCAATTCATCCATTTTACCTCCGATTCCGCCATGCCGGAGAGGAGAGGGTTCGCCACGGGTTTTAGAAAAGTAGAACCCGCAGCGCGAAAGGAGGGAGAAATTCAGAGGGATGTCAATTTTGTTCGGTTAGGAACCGAGGGCAAAAACCAACATTAAGCCCCTCACCTTATAAAATTGGTAGGTTTTAACCCCTCATCTTATAACATAACATTTTAGACCCTTTATCTTACAAAATTGGTAGGTTTTAACCAAGGTTTTTAAAACCGAACCAGTCATTGAACCATTTTCAGGTCTGCTTTCTGATTTAACCGATTCAACCGATTGAACCGGTGAACCAACCGATCCAAACAACAAGGGAGAATCTGATGAGAGAGGCAGGCGATTTTGTAATTTTATTAAAATTAAGGGTTAAAATCGGTATAAGAAAGGAATGGTGAGGGTGAAATTGGAAAAAATAAAAAGAAGATTGCATGAGAAATTGAATTGATGGTTTTTTCGGTTCTATCGGTTCCATTGGTTTTGATCGGTTTTGATCGATTTTAATCGGTTTTGACATCAAACGATTTTTTATTTAAACCGAACCATTTTTATTACTGGATACTGGTTCGACCGGTTCAACCGACCAATCTGAGCCGATTTTAAGAACCTTAGTTTTAACCCCTCACCTTACAAAATTGGTAAGTTTTAACTTTTTACCTTATATTATGATATTTTTAGCCCCTCACCTATACGAATTAAAGAAAATAACTGTCACATAACATTAGGTTATAACATTCAATTAGTTCTGTTAGTTGACTGTTAACATTTATTAGTATTTTGTTATAGAAAAACATGAAATTTAAATTTAATTTTATATGTTAGTTTTATTAACGGAATATTAATGGATGCTAACAGTCAGGTAATAGAACTAATAATCAGTTAACAGAATTAACACTCAACTAATAAAACTAAAAAAATATTATAACCTGATGTTAAGTGGGGGTATTTTATTCAATTCGTACAGATAAAGGGTTAAAAGTGTCATTGTATAAGGTGAGAGGTTAAAACCCACAAACTTTGTTAAGTAAAGGGTTAAAACTTACTAATTTTATAAGGTAAAGGACTAAAAATATTATATTATAAGGTTAAAGGTTAAAATCTATCAATGTTAGGGGTTAAAAATTGATTTTAGCCTACGAACCGATTGAAGAGTGATGCATATTTTCCCATACCACAGCATGATGTTTGGTGAAAGCTGTAATTGCTTCGGATTTTGGTACTATTTATATTTGATAATTTTAAATTGTTTTAAAAAATTTTTATATTTTTTTAATTTTTTTTAATTTTAAAAAATCTTGAACAACAAATTTTAAAAAGGTTTAAACTTTTACTTTTGATAATTTTTTTTTATTTTTTATTCATTTTTTATTATTTTTAAAATAATTTTTAAATTTTTTTAAATAAAAATTTAAATTTATGAACTTATAAACAATACTAAAAAAATAAAAGTTCTAAGAACTCCACCAAATAGGCCTTAATTTAAATTACCAGAGATAAAAATAACAACTGCTCAACCTTACAAGCCCAGATAGGATGGTAAACAAAAATCTGCTGATAAAAAATTTACTTCGAGTTTTCGTGTGTTTTAATTTAGATTACATAATATTAAAAGTGCAGTTTTGATTTTAAAATTATTAAATTAATGTTAAAATAAAAATAATAAAAAATTTTATTAGAAACATTTTAGTAATTTTAATAAGTAGTTTGAGTTAAAAAAATATTTTTTTGATTTATTAATTGAAAAAATTATTATATAGTTTATGTTGTTCAGAATTATATAACCTTAACAATTGACTTTGTTGTTGACGCTTTGGCTCCTTATCCAATAGATCTGTTCTTGTAATCTAAAGTTATCCAAAATGTAAAATAGGAAACTCTTACTATTTAGAAAAAATAATTAGAAGTTTGTTTATTTTAAATAGTATAACTTTTTATTACAATTACAAATGCGTGGATGATAAACACTTTTATATTTATTTTATTTGTTTATTTTCATAGAAAAAATGTTTATCATCATGTTTATAAAAAACTAGGTGAAATAATACTATAAAATTATGATTTTTTAATAAAATTTTATTCAAAAACACTAAAACATCATAGTTTTTA